CTAATTTTTAAAATGGATATTTCTCATTTTTAAAAGAAATTACAAACATTCCTGAAATTCTACCTTTAACATCACTTTTAAGAGAATACAAAGCTCTCATGTTCCTAAAGAATAGAATCTCAAAAAAACCTCTTTCCATTTTCTGGAAGTGACTAGTTGTCCTTATTGAGGGTCTTCAGAATGCCTTACAAGATTTTACTGTCTGTGGGTAAGGCTGTGCCTTATAAAGGACTTGTTCTGGTTAATAACCCAGTGCTGAAGGCTGGGAACCAATATTTTCACTGAGCTAAGAATCCCTGGGCTTCCCTGGGGGCGCAGTGGTTGAGAGTCCATCTGCCGATGCAGGGGACACGGGTTCGTGCCCTGGTCCGGGAAGATCCCACATGCCACAGAGCGGCTAGGTCCGTGAGCCGGCCACTGAGCCCGCGCATCCGGAGCCTGTGCTCCACAACGGGAGAGGCCACAACAGTGAGAGGCCCACATACCGCAAAAAAAAAAAAAAAAAAAAAAAAAAAAAAAATCCCTTATAAGAAGTTACTTTAAACTTTGACACTGTACCACACAATCCAGAGCAATCTACAGATTCAGTGCAATCCCTATCAAAATTCCAATGATATTTTTCACAGAAATAGAACAAACAATCCTAAAATACATATGGAACCACAAAAGACACCAAATAGCGAAAGCAATGTTGAGAAAGAAGAATCTGGAAGCAAGACACTTCCTGATTTCAAACTATATTACAAAACTATAATAATCAAAACAGTATGGTATTGGCATACAACAGATACACAGATCAATGGGACAGAACAGAGTCCAAAAATAAACCCACACATACATGATCAATTAATTTACAACAAAGGATCCAAGAATATACAATGGGGAAAGACAGTCCTTTCAATAAATAGTGTTAAGGAAACTGGACCACCACATGCAAAAGAATGAAACTGGGCCACTATCTTACACCATACACAAAAATTAAGTAAAAATGGATTAAAGACTTGAATATAAGACCTGAAACCATAAGACTCCTAGAAAAAACATAGCGGGTAGTCTCCTTGATCCTGGTCTTGGTGATGATTTTTTGGATTTGACACCAAAAGCAGAGGCAACAAATGTAAAAGAAAAAAAAAAGTGAGGCTACATCAAATTAAAAAGCTTCTGCACAGCAAAGGAAACCATCAACAAAATGAAAAGGCAACCTACCTACCAAATGGGAGAAAATATCTGCAAAATCACTTATCTGATAGGGGGTTAATATCCAAGATGTATAAACAACTTATACAACTCAAAAGGAAAAAAAAGAAAAAGATTAAAAAATGGGCAGAGGGTCTGCATAGACATTTTCCCAAAGAAGACATACAGATGGTCAACAGGTACATGAAAAGGAGCTCTATGTCACCAATCATCAGGGAAAAGCAAATTAAAACCACAAGGAGATACTACCTCACACCTGTTAGAATGGCAACTATCAAAAAGACAAGAAATAAGTGTTGGTAAGGATGTGGCGAAAAGGGAATGCTTGTACCCTGTTGGTGGGAATGTAAATAGGTGCAGCCATCATGGAAAACAGTATTGAGATTCCTCAAAAAAACAGAACATGATCCGGCAATTCCATTCCTTGGTATTTATCCAAAGGGAACAAAAACACGAACTCAAAAAGATATCTGCACCAGCCAGCAATGCTCCTTCCGCCTCTGTTCACTGCAGCATTATTTACAATAGCCAACACATGAAAGCAACCTAAGTGTCCATCAATAGATGAATGGATAAAGAAAATGTTGTGTGTGTGTGTGTATACAGTTCAGCCATAAAAAAGAAAATCTTGCCATTTGCAACAACTTGAGGACATTATGCTGAGTGAAATAAGTCAGACAGAGAAAGACAAATACCATACGACCTCATATGTGGAATCTAAAACAACAAGAACAAACCAAACTCACAGATACAGAGAATAGATTGGTGGTTGCCAAAGTTGGGAGAGAGGGTAGGGGTGAAATGGGTGAAGGGTGTCAAAAGGTACAATCCTCAAGTTATAAAATAAATGTCGTGGGGATGTAATGTACAGCATGGTGACTATAGTTAATACTGTACTGTATATTTGAAAGTTGCTAATAGAGTAGATCTTAAGTGTTCTCATCAAAAGAAAAAAAATTTAACTGTATATGTTGATGGATATTAACTAGACTTATTGTGGTGATTCACAGTATGTACAAATATTGAATTGTTTTGTTGTAGATCTGAAGCTAATATAATGTTGTCAATTACATCTCAAAAAAGTGTTGGACTTGTGGCAATTCACACTTGAGTTGGGTTTTAAGGACTGACATAACATTTAATAACTTTTGATGCTCCCATATTTGCCATTTCTTTTAAGAAAACATTGTATTTATATGGATAGGCTGGAACCTGGAGATAGTTAAATATCACTGGCCTGTAATAGAAACGCCACTTCTATTCACCATGGAAGTGAGAGGTAAAAACTATAAAAAGAGGGCTTCCCCAGTGGTGCAGTGGTTGAGAGTCTGCCTGCCGATGCAGGGGACACGGGTTCGTGCCCCCTTCTGGGAAGATCCCACATGCCGCGGAGCGGCTGGGCCCGTGAGCCATGGCCGCTGAGCCTGCGCGTCTGGAACCTGTGCTCTGCAACGGGAGAGGCCACAACAGTGAGAGGCCCGCGTACCGCAAAAAAAAAAAAAAAAAAAAAAAAAAAAAACTATAAAAAGAGACAATGGGAAACATTCTCTATGACCAGGAAAGTTTCAAGAGTCTTATATTCAGAGGATCAGAGGCAGTAGGGCAGAAAAGAAAAGCGAAAGAATGACAAATTAGCAGACTAGATAGCCTAAGGGAGACATAAATTCACCAAAATTTTTTACCACAGCTGGGCCAGAGTTTCTATTGACAGGGAATTATGTTGCCCTATAAATACTGTAACTCTGGCAGAAGTCAGAAGCAGTCACAAAAATGAGGAAATATTCTTCCAGTACTTGTAAACTATCATCAGCTTCAGCAAAGTCCCTCACTATATTGACTGAGGGATATAGGCAGTGCTGAAGCTGAAAGAGGTTTCAGTTGTATAAATATACTTTGTAGGAGATGGAAAATGCTGGAATGAAAGGCTTGCTTTCCCCTCTTCTCTTTTGTCCTCTGTTGTGAGCTCAAGGAGCTGTGTTCACAATCAAAATGTATGCTTTGTGCTTTAGCCATGATGGCCACACTAGATTTTGATGTACTGGGGGCCCAAACCTCTATGCTCTCCATATCACTTAGAATATAACATGTCCTTTTTCACCAGGAAATGCTAGTTCTGGGGGTGGGGATCAGGAAGGGTCTGCAGGCCACCCACGTATGGTCAAGAGGCTTGGTTAGGTAGCCAAGGTGGGAGGGAAATAGAGACAACTCATCTCACACATTCTAAGCTCTCAGATAGTCCTGTGACCTCAACTGGTACTAAGAGAAGCAATTTCAACATTAGACTAGGCTAAGGCTAGTTAGAAATCAGAATGATTTGAAAAAGCAAAACATATTCATGAGTTCAGTATAAAAAATATATTTTTTACAGCTGCCCTTGTATACCTTTTCATTGTATTAAATGACACCGCATTTAACAAAGGTAATCACAGGTAAATTTCTTGTTGATGTTTATTTTTCCAAAATCTCAACTTTTCTAGCATTTATGACCTTTAAACAACTTTTCAATGTGTTACCTGTGACTTTTTTTTTTTTTTTTTTGCGGTACGCGGGCCTCTCACTGCTGTGGCCTCTCCCGCTGCGGAGCACAGGCTCCGGACGCACGGGCCCAGCGGCCATGGCTCACAGGTCCAGCCGCTCCGCGGCATGTGGGATCCTCCCGGACCGGGGCACGAACCCGCGTCCCCTGCATCGGCAGGCGGACTCCCAACCACTGCGCCACCAGGGAAGCCCCCTGTGACGTTTTTTAAATAAGGAAGTTCAAGAAACATTTTATCTCAATTTAAAAAAATTCTGAATTCTACTTGAAGTTGTCACCAAACACCTTGGCAAGGAGTCATTTTAGTGCATTCTCTGGTGCTTAATCAGAACTGAGCTTCTACTGCAGGCTTCACCTCATTCACCACTGCTGGGGCTTAGTAGGATGTGGCCTCTCTGATGTTGGATCAGCATTGCTCTCTGCTTGTATACCTTCCCACACTACTTACATGTATAGGATTTTTCCTCAGAGTGGACTCTCTTATGTTTATTGAGATTTGACTTACAGCTGAAGGCTCGCCCACATTCAGAACATTTGACAGGTTTCTCTACTGTGTGGATTTTGAGATGATGACTAAGACCTGTCTTCTGACTGAAGGCTTTGCCACACTCTTTACATTGATAAGGCTTCTCCTTGTTGTGAATCCCCTGATGTTCAATAAGATGCTCTCCCCTTGTGAAGGCCTTGCCACACTCAGGACATTGGTAGGTCTTATCCCCAGTGTGGATTCTTTTGTGGTTTCTCAGGCCAGTTAACTGCGTGAAGGTCTTCCCACATACATCACACGTATATTTTCTTGGTTTAGGAGGGTTTCCGTGCTTCCCTCCTAACTTGTGTTTTTTGAGGCCTGAGTGTTGACTGAAGGCTTCACCACACTCATCACATTTATAGGGCTTCTCCCCAGTGTGAATTCTCTGATGTATGACCAGGGTTGAGTTCACGCTAAAGGTTTTCCCACACTCAGCACATTCATAGGGTTTTTCCCGAGTGAATTCTGTGATGTATTATAAGTTCTGAGCTCCGGCTAAAGGCTCGCCCACATACAGGACATTCAAAAGGTTTCTCTCCAGTGTGGATTCTCCGGTGTTGGTTAAGTCCTGCATACTGAGCGAAGGCTTTTCCACATACTTTACATTCATAGAGTTTTTCTTTACTGTGAATTCACTGATGCTCAGTAAGATTTGAACGCTGCCTGAAGGTTTTCCCACATTCATTACATTCATAAGGCTTCTCTTTGTTGTGGAATTGCCTATGTTCAGTGAGGTCTGCACTATGGCAGAAGGTTTTCCCACAGTATATACATTCAAAAGGTTTCTTTCCAGTGTGGAGGCTTTGATGCTTTGTAAGAACCGATCTCTGACTAAAAAATTTGCCACATTTATTACATTGATGGGGCTTTTCTCCAGTGTGGATTTTGAGATGTTGGGAGAGGCCTGCTTTCTCACTGAAGCCTTTGCCACACTCTTTACACTGATAAGGTCTTCCCTTGCTTTGAAGCCCCTGATGCTGGGTAAGTTCTACACGTCTGATGAAGGCCTTTCCATATTCTGTACTGGAATATGGTTTCTTCCCAATGTGGATCCTCCTATGCAGCTGAAGGCCTCTTATCCAAGTGAAGGTTTTCCTACATTCATCACATTCATATGTTTTTTCACCTGTGGCATCCCCATCCTGCAACTCCAAACTTCCACTAGGCTCACTGTCTCCTCTGTATGTGGCATGCTGACACACAGTTTCATGATGTCCATCAGACCCCTCCCTACACCATAATATTTCTTCATAAGGTTCCTGCTTCACTTCTAATGTCAGGTTCTCAGTCCTCACACCATCATCTGAAACAACACATCATATAACTCGAGGAGAAAAGGCAACTCAAAATTAAGAAACAGACAGGTAGGAGTGTTAATCTTTATTTTAGATTTAACAGAGGATTTTATATCTTTTCTTTATTTAGTGTCAGGGGTTCAGAGAAACAGGTCAGCCAAGTAGAAGGAATGGGAGTAATACAGGTGTGGGAGTGAGAAAGAATAAAGCATGGCCAAGTTACCAAGAGTATGGTAAAATTGATAGGATGTCACTTCTATGATTACCTAAGATTGTAAGTTCCACCTACTATGAGATTTTCTCTATTGACACTCTCCCTTGCTGGTTTGCTGGCTTTGATGAAGAAAGCCACCATATGAAGAAGGCCATGTGGCAAGGAACTGAAGGTGGGTTCTGGCCAGTAGCCAGCAAGGAAATGAGGCCCTCTGTCTGTGTGAGTGACTGACAGAGAACTGACTCCTGCCACCATCCATGTGAGGGTGGAAGTGGATCCTTCAGTCACAACTCAGATGAGATCCCATCTTTGGTATTTTGACTGCAACCTTGTGAGAGACCCAGAAGTGGAGGGCCCAGGTAAGCCATACCCAGACTCTTGACCCATAGAAACTATGAGACAATAAATGTGAGTCGTTTAACTGCTAGGTTTGTGGTAATTCATTAAGCAGCAATTGATAACTAATGTACCACTACTACAAAAATACAAAGCTTCCTAACTATAAGAACTACTACAATTAAAAAAAGAGGAGGGAAAATAAACCACACACTTAAAATCATATGCATGGGGCTTCCCGGGTGGCGCAGTGGTTGAGAGTCCGCCTGCCGATGCAGGGGACACGGGTTCGTGCCCCGGTCCGGGAAGATCCCACATGCCGCGGAACGGCTGGGCCCGGGAGCCATGGCCGCTGAGCCTGCGCATCCGGAGCCTGTGCTCTGCAACGGGAGAGGCCAC